CCCACGGCTCTCTCAGGGTCTGCTTCCTGAAGAGCAGCTTTCCCTCCACCGGGAGGGCTGGACCCAGCTGGCTCTGGCAGAAGGCAACAGGAGTGCAGGAGCCCCCAGGCTTTGTCCTTAAGAAAGAACAAAATTCCTTTTTGACTGCAGAAGAAGAACTTTAACTTGGGCCTCAGTTTCACAATCTGTTAAGTGGGAACAGAAACTTCTATCCCTTAGGGATGGTCTCAGCATTCAGTGACAAAAATTCATATTGTATGACTCCACTCTGACTTCCAGTGATAGAGAAATAAACGGGCAAGATGGAGGGTCTTTGGGCGCTGGGCCCTGGAAAGGTGGGCCACCCTCTCGGCCCTAGGGGGCCTGGCCCAGGAAAGGGGGAAGAGGTCTCTGTCGGGCCGAGTAGCTCCCAAGCATTCCCCGGCACTGGATCACGCGCGAGGTTCCAATTCATTACCGACATCCACTCCATCTAAGAAATCACAGGTAAAGTCGGCCTTTCCCAGATTCCTAGTTCGTGGTCCCACTGAAGGCGTAGCCACTTGCCCACTCATCCCTTCCCCGAGGCCATAGTAGTGGGGCAGCACTCCTGGGCTCCACGCCTGACTCGTCCCCCTCCAGGTCTCTAGTGGGAGATCCAAGCCGGCGTCAGGTTCAAAGAAGAGGGGCAAAGTCCTTAGACTGCGGCAGTGTTGCCCAAGCGCAAAAGGAAGAAGCAGGAATTGAAGCAAAATGCTGACTCAAGCCTCTTCCTCGCTTCACCCCACTTCAAGATGGAAGGTTCGTGGCTTCAACTGCTTCCGAAGTGCCCTTCCTATTGGCTGTATGGGAATTGTTTTTTCAATAATGAGAACGGTGATTGGTTTAGCCAGGACAGTTGCTAAAGCGATTGGCGCAACCGCCATTGGAGGGCGTCGCACAGATTTTTTTCAAACGCAAACTGGGTTCGAGGAATAGAAGATAAGGGGGCGAGAAGGGAAAGCTTGAGGGGGAGGCGGGACGAAGGAGCCCGCATTGGTTAATTAGCGTCCGATGAGCGGCTCTTGGACGCTTCTTCTTCGTGATTAGTCCGATTCAGGAATAGAGGGCGGTACTTAGGGAAAGCGGCAGAAGTGCCTGCTTCCATTGGTCAAACCTGGAGGGAGGAGGTGCGTCTTGGGAGGCTGATTGGTGCAGAGGCAGAAGTGGGCGGAGCTCTTAGTCGGAGGTTTTGTTGTGAGGGTCGGTTGTCAAGCAGCGGCCAATCAGGGTAGGTGATGGAGGCAAGTGGGGGTCGCGCCGAGAGAGGAGCCCTCGGCCTCCCGAGCCGCAGCTGCAGGTAAAGGGGGCGAAGAGGGGAAGGCGTGATGGGCCCCGGGCTAGGCCAAGCTAGGCGGGGCCGGGCGAGGCTGGGCTGCGGCGGGGAAGACTCCGGGCTGAGGGAGGCAAGAGACTGTCCCCCGGAAAGCGGAGAGGGGTGGGAGTATCTGGCGAGGCCGGGGGGCGGGCAGTCCCAGCCTCCAGACCATCTGGACCGGTGTGGTGGCCGGAGGGAGCAACTAGGGAAACCAGAAGCAGGTCTGGTGGTCTGCGGGAAGATTGGTAGTGAGTACTGGAAGCAGGAGAGTGAATGAATGGAGGATATAGATAGCAGAAGAGGAAAAAAGAGTTAAGGGGGCCTGGAGAGGCAGGGCCCAAGTTAGCGGCCTGGGAGACAAGATGTGCATGAATTGGACACACAGGTGGCAGGAAGAAGGGAGGACTAGTGAGGCAGTACTGAGGGGCCCAGGAGAAGGGGGATGAAGTAAGAGAGGGTTCGTGGGAAAGAGGTGAAGCGGATGTGAGGGAGAAATTAGGAGGCCTGCATGGTGGCCTTAGAGAGCTGAGGAATCATGCTGGCATCTGGAGGCCTGGTCCCCAACTCTCCCCCTTGGGAATTGCAGGGGGCAGGAGTAAGTTCTCATGCCACAGACAAGGAGATTGGACTCTTAGAGTCCAAGAGAGGAGGACCTCAGTGTCTGTATTCTGGGGTTCCTCACTTGGCCCACTGCAAAGCTCATCCTCTGACTCCACCCCTTCTTCCCAGACGTCAGGCAGAACAGTGACTCCTAGAAATCCCTTTGAACTGCAGACACGTGGTCTTCCCTGCCCCGCAACTGCAGCTGCACTATAGGCAGCCTGCATCCTGGAGCACAGCCTCCTCCCAGCCTCTGGGAAAACCTGTTTCGCAGTGTTCCAGGTCACCTTGCTTGAATCTTTGCAGATTCCCCCGTGCAGTTTACAGCACAGCTCCTGGCTCTGGTGGCTTTGGTGGATGTCGATCTTTTTCAGGTGGCCTTGGTGATCAGGCAGCTTTGCAGATCTACAACCCCGGGTTCCTCCTGAGCGCCCACCTCGTGTTTCCTAACAATCCACCCCATCTGTTTGTGTTCCAGCCCAGTGTTGAGCTGAAATGGCTCAAGCCTGATGTTCCATGATCCCAAATCCCGACGGGCGTGCACAGGCTGCTGCTGTGTGGAGAGCCGGGAGACAAGGCATTCCCTCTGCCTGGATGTGTGGGAACTCCCTGCCAACTTGATTGGTGGATCTGGGGGGGATCCACCCCCGCCCCACGAGGAAAGCACCGTCTACTGGGTGGGTGGGGCTCCAGGTGCCAGCTAGCTGAAGAATGGCCACGCCTGTGGTCACCAAGACGGCCTGGAAGCTGCGTGAGTGGTTTTCTTTTTTTTTAACTCATTTACCCTAGAAGCCATTTGTTGCTGGGTTGCTTGGTCTCCAAGTAAGATAGACCAAAGATGCAAATCATGACTGTGCCCCTTCTTTGCTGGGTGACATTGGGCAAGAGTCTTAACCTCTCTGAGACTGAATTTCCTCATCTGAAAATAAGATAGACATATCTGTGTTCTAGAGTTGCTGTGAGGGTCAGGTGAGGTAATGAACGGAAGGCACTTAGCACAGGAACTTGCGCTTACGACAGCCTTTGTTAGTATACTTTTCATTAATATACTTGTTTTTTCAGGGGCCAAAAGATTTCCAGTTAGACTGACAGATAGGATGGGGTGAGAAATCTGGACACATGTTCTCGGGCATTTTCAGATGTCTCCCAGTCAGGCCTCCCCGCTAGAGGCATGTTGTGGTGATTAGCTGAGCCGGGAATAATCAGGGTTGGGCAAAGGGGTGCTGATGGGCCCTGGAATGTAACCTAGGCCCACCCCCACTGGTCCTCTGCACTGTTGTTGTTAGGTGCTGTCAAGCGGATTTTCAGCTCATAGCAACCCAGTGTGACAGAGCAGAGCTGCCCAGAGGGTTTTTTAGGCTGTAATCTTTAGGGAGCAGGTTGCCAGGTCTTGTCTCCCTTGGAACCACTGGGTGAGTTCAAACTGCCATCCTTTTGGTTAGCAGCCGAGTGCGTAGTTAATGAGCCACCAGGGCTTCTTTCCTCTGTACCAGTGGCTCTCACGCTCTCTGATCTTAAGACCATTTTATGCTCTTAAAACAATTGGGACACTCATAAAGAGCTGGGACCCTTAGGACTTAACTCATACGTGGGCTCTATCTATCAGTATTTACAGTGTTAGAAATTAATACTGAGAAATTTTAAAGCGGAGGAATACACAGACGTGTGTTCAGTGAGGATGACATCACACCCCATTAGCCCCTGGAAAACGCCACTGTGTGTTGGTAAGAGGGTGAGAGTGCAGAAGGCAGATGGCGTCTCGGTTTTGCAGAGTCCTTTCAGTAGTATTGGGAAGATGCGCTCGTTCTCCTGGAAATAGAAGGGTCTGCAGGACCCCAAGGGCCCCCAGACCATGTTTGGAGAGCTGCTCCTCTCACATTGTCATCTCTGTGGCCCTATCTGACCTCGCCTGGAAGAATTGGCTGGCATAGATTTGGTATGCTCACATCTCCAGGCCCAGTTAGCACCAGGGCTGTGGTGAGCTGCT